TATGATAAGCTCCGCTCGACAAAGTCGACAGCGGAGCTAAAAATAGCATTTGCAGACAATGTATACAGAATGAAATAGAAGATGAACTGCACATTGTTATGATACAAGTATATGCTCTCAAATTTAGTTTCTTTATGAATTTAAAAAAGCTTTAATAATAAAAAAATTGACAACTATATTCATAACTCATTTCAATCAAGAAATGAAAATGCCATCTGATATGCAACACTTACTTCATCCCATTACCAACTTTCTTTTTTTTTATACATGTAGTATCGTAAAATCTGTATTAGAAGCTGCATCCCTAATAGAAGTCGCACCCATTCTTTTTGAACAATTTGGATTAAAAAATTCATCATTTCTCATATGTGTAATTGCTCAAATAGAAGCCACATCCCCTCTGTTGTATTGTACCATTTCCATAAAGTCGTGGCTTCTAAAACAGATTTTACAGTAGTAGTTATCATAACTAATCTTTATTGCTATTAACTGATAGAAACTGTGTATCTCTAATGATGCAATAAAATTACTACTATTATTATTATACATTGTTTGGATTCCCAATTAACATGGTACACAATAATGAGTACAAAATACTTACCTTCCTTTTGGCCTGGCTGTTTTGACAGGTTTGGCGGGAACTGTTTTCTTTTGATGACTGTGGGTTGGTATTCTACTAGTCCGCAGTTTCTTTCCTTTTGTATCACTTGGCTTGGAGCTTTCATCGGTGCTCACATCTGAAGGGAACAACCAAGAAATTTACAATCAAACCTGACCACCTGTTACAGCACTTCATTTCATTATTACAAAACACCAACCATATTATTCTGAGCTAAGATGTTCACAATAATTGAGTGATTTTTATATAGATAACAAGGGACCTGTCAGACAATATTAGCAATCAGACAAGTAGTTTTCAAAAAGCACTAATATTTTTATTTTGTTTTACCAAAATTATTCACTAAAATTATGTCATTTTTACAAATCTGATAGAAGTATGATTTCCTACCTACATAATAAGTATCAAAGCAATTTCACAGGCATTTTTCAAGAAGTCAAAAATATTTTTTTTTTACCAAAAAAAGACAAAAATATTCACTAAAAATAAAGCATTGGTGATAATGTCAAAAAATAAACGAATTGGAATGAGGTCACCCCAAGGCACACCAAATATAGAAGCAATTTAGTGGTTCTCAAGTTGAGGCCAGACGATGGTTATTCAGTCATACCAATAGACCCACCTCAACAGACTGTAGAGCTAATTAAAAGCTGACTATAATGAAATTATAAAACAGGGCAAGATGAAAGTTCAAGCAAAAATCATCCCTGGCCAACTGCATCAAAATGGTACAATTTGCTCTGATAAATGAAACTGGAGTCCAAATTTGGAAGGGGGGGGGGGTATTAGATATTGTACTCTCTTAAACCATCAGTGGGACTTGTTAATGTATGCATGTTCGGGGGCCTCAGAAGTGAAGTGCCTCAGAATTTTTCTCAAGCACTTAAGCTCTCGCTAAGTATTGTTTTCATCAGCCTACATGTGATATCAATTAACCAATGACAGCAGGCTATTACATTTTAGTATTTTTGAAGACAGAATCATGATGTTTGTTAGATCTATCAAACCCAATGAATCAGAATATGAATATATATGAAAACACGTACAAATATATAGAGTTATAAAGCTGCCTTGGGTTTAATTTTACCTCTTTGGGCAGCAAGCAAGTTCTTTTTTCTGTTTGATATATATCGATGTCTTGAGTCCTCTGGTGAAGAAATACTTTCAGTTGTGTCTGTTTCTCCACCTTTTCCTCGCTGTAATAGAAAGAAAACATTACCATGGTGATTATAATACGCATGTTATCATTCGCTATCCAGTATCAAAACTGAGAAATATCTTTGTGATTCGGAACTTTCTCAAACAGAAACATTTGCAACAATCAATTTTTTGTTATAACCCATCCAATCAAATAAGTTTGAATCCTAAAATATGACATATATATATATATACACCCTGTTATTCATGCTACTAGTAAAACGAATACTGTATGTGTGATACAGGATGTGATTGAACCAGCCTTGGTGAGGTATGGAAAAACAGACAAAACAAATTATCTGACCTTGTTATTATCATCTTTGACACAGAGGAACTGTGCAAGCTCCTGCTCAAGCTTTTCAATCCTGACTTCGTGGTCTGTTGTAACTTTTTTCTCAGGGATAGGTTTACTCTATAATGAAAAATATATTAATTACATAAAGCAATTAAAAGATTTATATTGTTACTGCATTTGCTAATCGTGTTAGTTCTCTACAACATATATTCAAAACAGAATACAAACAATTTAAAGAATAAAGGCGAATAAACATGTGTAAAAAAAGACAATTTCAAAACCAAGCTGTGATTATAAGTACATGTACTGTAAATGCATTAATTATTCACTGGGTTTTAATTTCGCTATTCCGCTGATAATTAAAATCCACTAAATTAAATCTACATAAACATGTAAAATAACAATAAAACTCGTTTTCTTGACAAATTCATGAAATTAAAACATAGTGAATAAGCTCAAAACATCAAAATATTGAAATTAAATGTCAGTGAAAATAAATGGTTTACAGTATAGTCTACAGTGTATGTGTTAAATACAGTGCCATTATTCTAATACAAATATTCAAATAAAGAAATTGTCATCTTTGATTCAAATATGACAACTACCTTAAATCTTGGAGACATTCTCGTTGCTTTGATTCTTATTTCCATGTCTTCTTGATCTGTTGTTGAACTTTGGTCCGTGGAAACACATCCTCTTTGGCGAAACTGTTGCAGCGCTTCATCAATTTTAGGAAAAGCCAATGGAAGTAAATTATCCTGTAGGATTTATAGAAGTGGTTTATGACAAAATGAGATAACATTTATTTTTAATAGGAGAAAGAATGGTTATAAATTATACAATCCTGTTTCTAATGACATCATGAGCAGCAGACGTTGTTTTCAGTCAGACTGTGCGAATTCATAATTTGTGATAACATTTATTAATATACATCTGTCACCGTAAGGCCATAAGTTACAGCGTGTTGCAGCCCCCAGGGTTTGAACAGATCTTCATACAAAGAAGTTTGCTGATTCTGTTCTAAACTTTTAGTATTTTGCCATTTCAATGATGTATCCCTGGATGGAAAAGATTTATAATACTAGTAATAAGGTGCGTGTTGGTCATTACTCTCGCTGTACTGTCTTCGTGCATACTTTTTGGTATCCTCGTAATAACCAAATATTATTACCATACATCATTTCCTAGACTGGCGCAGTCGGGCGATTAATATGTTTTTGTAGTTTAAAAAAAATAAAAAAAATAATGAAATGGAGGTGTTAGTGCGAAATCACCCCGACTGGTTTATTCTGCAGGAAATTCATTGCTATTAAATATTCATGAATGCAGATATTATAATGAGGTGGGCGCGGAAATACGTGCATGATGA